TCAAAAAATAAGCATCATAATTCATTATGATATGAAAAATTCTATTTGGGGGCACCTGGGTGGTTCAGTCATTAAAAATTGTATTTTTAAAAAGGTATTTAATCTTACAAGTTGACACAATTCCAAATAATTTGATTTAAAAGACTTGTCCAGGTAAAATAAATAAGATCTACTGTCACTCAAGAATTATGTGTGTTATGTTCAGGGATCACTAACAAAATCCCCCAGATGGTAATGGGGAGAGATGTTTCATAATGACCTTTTAAAGCTGTATTTTTTCCTGCAGAGAGTCACTTCGCATATTAACATGTAAGGGAAATCCTTTCTTTCAAAGGAATCATGTTCTCTACCATTTTACTATTAAAATACCAGGCTCTCTCCACAAAGCTTTCATTTTTTTTTTCATTTTTGCTAAAGCCACGAGTACAAAAAATATTTTAATTTCCTCTTTGCAAGAAGTGTAAATGTGGTACAATATACAGCTTTTTTGTCTGAGAACCTTGAGAGAAAGGTGAGAGACTGGCAAACTGGAGAATGAATGTACCATCTAGAGAGGGCCATAACTAGGCAACTGTTGCTGTAAGACAAGGTTAAGAGCTCGTGTTCATAGAATGTCTGATTTTTCATATAAAGTTATAAATATGCATTTTATGCACATTTTCCCAATTTTAAAAATGGACAAATTCAAAAAATTGTAAACACTGGATCAGATTAAGCCTTTAGCTTTCTGATTTGCAATCTCTGGAATATATCATAGTCTAGACTCTGAGACTTTAAGTCAGAAAATCTGTGTCTTAATCCTACTTTTGCTACTTATTAAACTCAGTAAAAACTTGGATAAAGCAATGTCATTTCACTAATCACAAAAGTCATAGTAATTTGTTCACTAGGCTTATTTTTCTCAAGACATTGTTATAAAAGTTTTCTAAGCATAAAAAATTTAAAGATTTTTAAAATGAAAACTTAATGCATTTGCCATCTAGGTTGCATTTATAACATATTACTACACATGCTCTGTAAAACTCCTATCCATCTATCCAGTCATCAATCTGCCTTCCCTTTTGGCTTAGTTTCAAAAGAGTTGCAGACATCTCTGTGAATCCTTCATTGGATTGTCTTGAGGAATAAATGGTGCACAAAAGGCATCAAGCACATCTGGCACATAGATAAGCATTAGAATCGTAATAGCCCCTTCCCTCCATCTGTGTTTACTATGTGTAGCTTGAAAGTCACTGGACCTACTAAGCACATGTGTTTTAGACTGAAGGAAGAGGGATATTTCTACAATAACTTTTTCATCAAAATCCTGCTGGCCCCTACCTTTGAAATGTATTCAGAACCTGGACTTCTGGTTGCAGCCAAAATAGTAATCCTCCTTCTTATTAATGCAGACACACACACACACACACACACACACACACACACACACACGCTCTTTACACATGGTAAACCTGGGAAGACTATACAAATTGGAAATAAGACTGGCTCAGAGAGGAATGACACTGTGGTGAGTTCCGTGAACTTCTAGCCCCACTTAGAGATAAGGAGGCAGAACAAAATAGTTTAAGACAGTGCTAGTCAGCACCCTATTTTCACTTCCTCATTGGTGTAAGTGGACCTATAGGGAGCTAAGCTTCTACCCCTACTAAGTGGCAGTGAGGTAGAGTGAGTAGAATACTAGTTAGTACCCCACTTTCCTCCCTGGTGTCACCAAGAACAAGTAGGGAGCTAAATATCCATCTTACTTGGAAATGTAGACTAGACTTGAACTGATCCACAAGCTGTAAAAAACTACAGTTAAGTAGGATATAGCATTTTACACTCTAACACCCAAATGTCCTGTGTATAATAAAATAAAATCACTTCTCATACCAGGAAGAGCTCAGCTTGAATGATGAAAGATAACCAACAAGTACCAACAGTGAGATAACACAGGTGTTAGAATTATTTGACAAGAATTTTAAAGTACTCATCATGCTTCAGTAAGTGATTACAAATACACATAAGTAGATGGGAAAAGAAATGAAAGTCTCAGCAAAGGAAAAGAGGATACAAAGAAGAACCAAATGGAATGTTAAAGCTCAAAAATACAAAAACCAAGGTAAAAAACTCATTGAGTGGGCTCAAGAACAGAATAAATAGGAAAGAAGAAAGAATCACTGAATGTAAAAATAAACAGAAATTCTGTCTGGACAGAGAGAAAAGACTGACTGGAAATGTCCCCACTGCCTACCACTTCTTTCAATACCAGCCTCAGCCAAGCTACTATTTTGCCTGCATGTAGCCATTAGACACATAACTGAAACCACTTTTTCAATTTTGTTCCTTGGATCTTTTTTATACCAAAGTAACGATTTAAAAACATAAATTACATCAAGTAATCTTCTTTTACATTGCTCCCCATTTTGTCAGAGTAAAAATCAGTTTAGAATGATGTACAAGACCCTTCAGGGTTTGTCCCCTGTTGTCTCTTTGCCTGTGGTGGGCAAAATTCTAAGATGGTCCCATGATTTCTAGCTCATGATGTTACTCCCACAGTTAAATTATCTTACATGGACAAAGAATTTGCAAATGCACTTATGGTTACTAATCACTTGATCTTAAGGGAGGGAGATTATCTGGGTGGGCCTAACCAAATCACACAAACCATTGAAAAGCCGAAAGTTAGATCTAGCTAGTTGTGGAAGAGGAAGCCACAGAAATTCCAAATGAGAAAAGGATTCAGTGTGTCATTGCCAGCTTGAAGATAGAGGCTGCCACATAGCAAGGAATGTGAGTAGCCTCTAGAACCTGAGAGAGACCCCCAACTGAAGCCAGCAAGGAAACAAGGAGGTCAGTCTTCGTGGTGGTTAATTCTATATGTCAGCTTGACAGGGCATCCAGATATTGAGTTAAATGGGGCACGGATATTTGTTTTGCGTATAAATTTTCTGAGTACTTGGAACAATTCCTGGTATAGCAGTGCTTACGAAGTATTTGTAGAATAAAATAAATTAACTCTATGTCAAGTTGCCTCGGACTTAAATCATTACGTTGTAATATTTATGGTCCAAGGTGTATGTGCATTTTACATCCTTCCTCAAAACTAGGCTAAACACGGATATATAACACATTGCTTTGTACATGGGAATGTGATAACAAATAATAGACTATATGTAGTCATTAGTATAAAAATATATTGGATGGCAGGGCGCCTGTGTGGCTCAGTTAGTTAGGCGGCTGCCTTCAGCTCAGGTCATGATCCCGGGGTCATGGGATCAAGCCCCATATGGGGCTCCTTGCTCAGCAGGGAGCCGCTTCTCCCTCTCCCTCTGCCTGCCTGCCTGCCACTCCCCCTGCTTGTGCTCTCTCTCTCACTCTCTCTCTCTCTGTCAAATAAATAAAATCTTTTTTAAAAAATATATTGTATGGCTCTGCCATTCTTACATCATTAAGTGCAGGAAAGTATAAGAGAATCTTCAATGACTGAAACTGGGGTACTTGTGAGAGGAGGGTAGGTGATATGAAAGGTTTACAGAACACATTTCTAAAACTACTTAAGAAAACAGAACTAGGGGACTCCCGGGTGGCTCATTCATTAAGCATCTGCCTTAAGCAGCCTAGAATAGAGCCCCTCTTCAGCTCCCCTGGGCTTGTGCTCCCTCTCTTACTATCTCTCTCTGTCATAAATAAAATCTTAAAAAAAAAAAAGAAAAGAAAATAGAACTGGATGACTTCTAAGATTCCTTGAAATGCTATATTCCATAGTTATCTAGCCTCCACTCAAGTAACTAATGGCTCAACATTTGATCATCTTTTTATTGATGATGCATTTGTAGTCCTCTTTGTGGATCCACATTCCTAACATTTTGTCTCTAACAACTTCCAAGCATCACATGGATGACACACCATTACCCGGAATGGAACATGTCAAGGTCATACTCATCCTAATGATCCTGGATTCCAATTCCCCCTCCTTTTGCCAATTAGATATTTTTCCCTCTCTCCTCTACTACCTGAGTCAGTCTCTGGATCCGGTTTTCCTTTCAGATTTCCTCTCTCATATTGCCCTTCATTTTCATTAACACTGCTGTCACCCTTGTTCATGCTCTCACTTCCTCAAGTCGGGATTATTTAACCAACATCCTAAATGATTTTCCTACCTCGCCTCATATCCACACTCTCCCTCCAGCAATCCTACATATGACACTTTATTAATGTTCCTGAAATGAATTTAAATATTCTCAATGCCTCAAAATCTTCCAATGAGTTTCCACTACTACAGGGTGAATTTTAATTAACAGTCAAACAAATCTGTAAGGTATTTCCTGATCTGGCCTATTCAATCTAGTCTCTTGTCCCCCAAATTCTCTTTGCTTTTTTGGACACATTCATCCTACTGAGCACTACTGCGGGTGCTCGGTAGAAGAGCAAGTGGGTGGGAGAGTGAAATGGGTGAAGGTGGTTGAAAGACACAACCTTCTAGTTTTAAAAGAAGTGAGTCCTGGAGACATGGTATTCAACATGGTGCATTATACTATGTTTGAATGTTGCTGAGAGTAGATCTTAAAAGTTCTCATCACAAGAAAAAAATTGTAACTACATGTGGAGGAGGATGTTAACTAGACTCATTCTGATGATCATTTCACAATATATACAGATACCAACCTTACCTTGTACAGCTGAAGCTGAATAACGTTCTATGTCAATTATGTCTCCATTTAAAAAGATACAAGAACAGGTGTTTGAAACATAGAAAAAGTGGAAGTAAGGACAGTTTAAGAAAATGTTTTGGAATTAAGGAATGACTTTACATGGTATTGTGGCATTTGTTATAGTGAGAAGCTCACTATATATCAGCCCTGATATTAGCATTTTTCTTGGAGTGCTGGTGAATCTTATTTTGGGAAGCCATTTCATCGGTGGTGAATTGTTGGTATCCTATATCTCAATGAAAGTAAAAGCGCCCTGAATCCTGAGTGGGTCCCACTGTGAGCTCTGTTTTCTCCTTGTTTCTTCAGGGAGCCCCGCAAGGTAGTCCTGCACAAAGGCTCCACTGGCCTGGGCTTCAACATCGTGGGCGGGGAAGACGGAGAAGGTATTTTTGTGTCCTTCATTCTGGCTGGTGGACCAGCAGACCTGAGTGGGGAACTCCAGAGAGGAGACCAGATCTTATCCGTGAGTATTTCTTCTTAATCTTCATTCCTCTGTATCTGACACCATTTAAGGAAAAAATCGCTTTCAATTAGGACTCCAGAAGCACCTTCATTAAAAAGAGAAAATGGAGGAGAGCATTATGGCTTCCAGCACCTGTTGCAGTTTACATGGTGTTGAAGTGCTTGGTGCTTATTACTCACTTCCCTCAGGTACAGGTAAAAGTGCTAATGTTTCATGCAGATGTTCTGAGACATATTTGCATGCAACAGAGCATTGAGAACCATGCCTTTTTAAGGTATTATTTATTTTTAAAGCAGATTTTTTTTTCTAAATCCATGACTCTACTCTAAAAACAGCACCTTTATAAGCATGTATTTTGTTGCATATAACTATATAAGCAAATACATAAAATATGCAGTTGGATGCCACTGGTAGTGGTAGCAACCGCACCATTTACCTAAATGCAAGAATTACCAGCAACAAGCTATGAGCACTTATTATTAACCAAGCATTTTATACAAGTCATTTTATTTAAAAATTATATTCTCTTATCTCCTATAATTTTTTATTCTCACAATCACCCTGAAAGTACCCCATATTTGGATGAAGAAAATAAGGGTCAGAGAGGTTAAGTCAGTGACTACCTAACTAGAGAGAATAAGAACTTGGATTTAAATAATCGGGGTTTTTTTTAAGATTTTATTTTTAAGTAATCTCTGCACCCAACATGGGCTCAAACTTACAACTTTGAGATGAAGAGTCATGTGCTCTACTGACTGAGCCAGCCAGGCACCCCTAAGCATTCAGTTTTAATGCCCATCACACCTGCCCTCTCTTTTCCCTCCTTCCTTACTCACTCCTTCCTCCCTTCCACCTGTCTTCCCTCCTCCCTTCTTCTCCTTTCTCTTATTGGACTATTTATTGCCTGCTTCTTTCCACTAGATCAAGCTTTCTTTCTGGTATAAACTCTGTGACAAGTAGTTTAAAACATACTAAAATTTTGGTAATCAGGCAAATAATGAGAAATAACCTAAGGAGCCTAGCTCTTACGGCTGAGTTTATGGTTCATACCTCAATGGAACACTTACTTTGTTTTGGTTTTCATTGTTTTAGAAAAACTTGTCTTTGTTTTATAGCTGTGATTTATAACTAGAATTTTCCAAGGGACCTTATCTGTGTTAGCCATCGTGCCATCTCCACCTTTCCCTCACACACACACCATACCTGTGTAATATAGTCAGTTGACCTGGGCAAAGTGTCCAGAGGTCTGAATGGATAGCCTTGTCTTACATATTCTGGTAGTTCTCCCATACATTAAGTCTTCTGCTTAGTCCTTAGCTAGCAGATGTCTGGATGGATTGAGTATGGGAGAAATTGGGTCAGGCCCCATGAGAGGATCTTGTTCTGTCATCCAAGAGCTGAATGTCGCCCCCTTGACTACTCCCCTCTGCATCCTTCTTCTACACTTAAATGATATATATCTTCCTGGACTTATAATGGGCTTATATCCTGATAAGCCCATTATAAGCTAAAAATATTATAGTCAAAAACGCATTTAGTAAACATGTTCAGAACACTTAAACTAGCCTGCTTTGGAGAAAAATCACCTAAAACAAAGCCGATTTTATAATATTTTATAAGTGTCGACTATCTCATATAATTTGAATACTATACTAAAAATGAAAACAGAATGATCATTTAGGTGCAGAATGGTTGTAACCGTATCAGTTGTTTACCTTGATGATGGTGTGGCTGAGTGGGAATTGCCACTCACTGCCCAGTATCACAAGAGTGTGTACACTGTGTTGCTAACCTGGGAAAGGAGCAAAATTCACAATTCGAGGTACAGTTTCTAGTGAACATGTGTTGCTTTTGTACCATCATCAGAGTTGAAAATTTGTAAAATCAAATTGTCGCTAACTCCAGGACCATCTGCACAAAATATAACTTGCTTTTATTGACATGTCTTTCTTTTCTAAGTGGCAAAATCTCCCTGAAAGCAGGTTCTCCATCTTACATGGTTTTGTATCCTCGACATTTAAATCATAGTGGCTGGCACATAGCAGTCTCCCTAACACTGTCTATGGAATGAAAAGGTGTTGAACAAATGTGGTGATGCTTTACAGAGTCACTGTAGCCTCACAGATGGATTCTGTACAATTTTAAGCAGAGCATACTTACATAGTGTCATCATTCTGGCTCCAAATCCTTAGCCTGGGGACCACACTGTTACTTTGCCACAGTCAGCATTCACACTGGCACAGCACTTCCCCCACACAAAGCGCTTTCACGTGCATTAATTCTAGGGGTCTTCAAAGAAATTCTAAGTGTCAGGAACTAAGTTATTATTACTCTCATTTTCTTACATGAGGAAAAGGGGATTCAGAAAGGCCAAATGATTTGTCCAAAGCTCCACAAGCTACTAACTATGATGTTAGACTCAAAAATCAAGTCTCCTGACCCCAAAACAGTGTTCTTTCTCTTTATAACACAATCTCTTTTCAAAACCTGTCAACGGTCTCATTCCACATTTTCTCATCTCACAGCACTGCTCTGTGTGCTCACTCAGGAACGCACAGAACTATAAAGGACTAGTACTTCCAGGTTACTTTTGAATCAGTCACTGTCATAACGAATTTAATCTTATAACCACCCTAGGCCCTGTTATGCTTATTTTTTAAATAAGCTCTACACCCAACATGGGGCTTGAACTCACAATCCCCAGATCAAGTATTACTCACTCTACTGACTGAGCCAGCCAACCCCCCCCATTATGTTCATTTTAAGGGTAAAGACACTGAGTCACAGAGATGACATTAGACTCTGTTTAAATGAGAAATCCATAGATTTTATTTGTTTTGACTCCCAGGCATGTGGTAGAAAAAAGGATGAGCTAGTAATCTTATGACTCAACAAAGAAAATTCGCAAGTGTTTCGGCTTTCAAAAGTAGATGTATCCATTTAAATACTGCCAGAACCACATATTAAAAGAAAGCAACCAATCAGATGACTTATAGTCTTGTTGGAGATTACAATCCATAGAATATTACAATATTCTCTGATATTCAGATATCATATCCTTTCTTATGTATACCATTTACAAAGACAGTTCAATGATAAAAATATTACCTGCTTTTCACAATTGAAAAAGAAGAGGGAACATTTCTCTCTTTTAGTTTGCAAAAAGTTATTTGAACTGTGGCTAAAAATTGGCTTTCAAGGCTCAGTATTGGAATTTCATGGGTTAATAGTGAAAGAGAAGAATAAACGGGCTCGAAAAGCTCAAACATTACAATATGGAAGGAAAACAGCAGAACAAAATTATTAACAATGGAATATGGAGGATCTGATATTTAACATCTACAGCTTACACTGGATATATAAGGACAAGCTATACCTTCCTGGAAAACACAAGACCAAAAACTCTAAATAGCAGTCAAAAGTTAAACACAGATTCTATTACTAGATCTTATAACATTATTTTGTAAATAATATATGCTAACGGTAATGCAATTAAGTTCAGAAAACAGAACTAGAATCCCCAGGGAGAAGCGCTGGGGAGTAGGTCTCTGTCCTCAGTTGGTCTTCATCGGGAAGAGAGTTGAATAAGAGGTAATTAACCTTCTAATCAGGGGCAGAATGTCCATGCCTGCATTCCAGAATTACTCTCCTACACAGACTATACAGACTTTAGAGATAATTTATTTTATTAATGACTTAGTATGTGACAGATTTTGTGCTAAGATTAGAGATTTCAAAGAATGAGCTAAATATCCTGTCCTTAAAATATTCACAGCCTAAAGGCAAATATATCAATATATCAATTATATGTGAATATATAGACATGGTTACAGGTATAGATGTAGATATAGTATAGATGAAGATGGCATATTGAAGAAAGAAAGGAGACAAAAACTTCAGCATATCATACTGTAAATACTCAGTCAACACTGCTATTACTAGTAACAACTTTGCCTTAAGAATGTGTCCAGTGGTTTTTTGTTTTGTTTTTGTTTTTGTTTTTTTAAGTGTCAGATAACCATGTCTAAAGAAGGCCTCTTTTATAGAGTTTGAGTTATTCCTTCTTTGGGACAGGGCTTGGGCTGGATGAGCATTTTCCAAAGTGTGTTTCACAGGACACTGGAAGAGCAGGATTGGATTAGGGTGCTACTGATAGACAGGGTTTCCTGCTGCCATATTTCTTTACCGAAGAACTTTTCAGAAACATCTGGTATACCAGTATGCACTGGGGAGTCTTTTCAGAAGCAGTGTTTTCCCATACTTACTTGGCTATCAGACTCTCATATAAGGAGCACTTCACATGACAAGAATAGGAAATGCTGGAGTAGATATTTTTCTAATTCCCATACTTGACTCTTTTCCTAAGGAGGTAGCCTAACTTGCCTATAAAGAAAAACCGCCAGTCCTTTACTATGTTTAAGATTATGAGCGCCATCTAGTGTTTATGCTTTGTCTAAACGTGGCAACCTGAGAATGGAGGAGGGTCCCAAAGCTCCATTGTAGGGCTTTGTTAGCCTCCCCTGCCCCCTCCCCACCAAAACTACAGAACTAAAGCAGCTAGGAAGCTGAAAGATAAATCATCACCATCGGCTACATTCTATACACGTACTGTGAGTGCTCTTTACTCTCTAATTTCCCCTTTATGTGTTCTATTTCTCGAGCATTTGTTGTAGAAAGTCTTATCCAGTAATTGAATCATATTCTTGAGATGCTGGTGGAAGAGAATTTAGGACATTCAGTGTGCAATCACATTAACAAGTGCAGTAGCCTCCTCAGGCATTCTTCCTGCAGAGGAAAACATAAAAATTATTCTGTTATTATTTGTTTCCGTGCTTTCTTGTGAAAAATGGGGAGCAGAGCATGTAGAAGCGATACCCCTACAAAGAGATTCTTTTCTGTGTCGCTAGGCAATTGTAGTTTTTTCATGCCTTGGATTCCTCAGAAAAGCACCCCAGCTGACCTTGCTAACTCCACAGCTCACCCTTGATGCACCTCAAGTA